AATTCTAAAAATAATTTGATTTATAGGTAAATTATTTTATTATTTACAATGAACTAATACGCTTTATATTAATTAAGTATAGGTAATAGGTACACGAGGTTTTATTTAAATTTCTATAATGTCTTTAATAAACTTACTTATCTGCATTATAAGGTATGAATTATGTAATACCTATACCTAATTCCGATATCCCATATATTTACAAAAGTATATTTAAAAAGTATAAATATATATTAATAAAAACTTAAAATGTAGAATTTAGATAAGGCAATAAATATGTGACATTATTTAATTTTTATTACATTATTTACATTTAAACGAAATACGATTACCTAGTATAAAATATAGGTCCCTGCTGTTAATGTTTTTTTTTTTTTTTTTTATTAATAGAATTAACGTTTGTCAGCATTTTTAATACCTAAAATCACATATGTCCATTTAAACATGTAAGTTATGTATTTTTTTTTTATTTCGTTCGAATTCAATAGGTTCAAACTCCAAACATTAATTTAAGAAAAATTTGGCAATTTGGTTTTTTGTGATACTTTTTTTATTAACCAATAATATTAATATTACCTAGTAATAATCTGTACACATTGCTAAATATTTTGTATGCAACAGGTGTCAATAGTTATATAGACACCCGTTCGTTTAAGCTAAATCATAATTTTTTTATATAAAAATTTTTTCTAAAATATTATTCAAATGTTTTAAGCTGCATTATGAACGATATTTTATCAAGATGCTCTGACGTTTTATACAAAAAATATAATACAACTACTATACGAGAATAAAAAAAATATATATAAAATAATTCTGATTTTTAAACCATAAAAATAATCAAGAATAATTTATAAAAAATAATAATACTGATATCGATTATTATTGCATTTATGTTTAATGACACATGGCTATATAACATAATATGGCTCTATTACTTAGTAAACCTACCTGTAATATGTGTTGTAGTGAATAGTATTTACCGATTGTGTATACGTTCATTAAGTTCATCGTTTAGTTTTCAACATTAAGCATATATATTGCTTACATTATTTGTAAAAATTATGTTCAATTGTTTGTTCTAATTAGAAGACAAATAAACTCTTAATATATATTTTATTTATACAATTATACAATCTCTTTATACATACCTACCAACAATTTTTATTTGATTTATTTATTACTCTATTTTACATTATCATACATTTGTAAGTTGTAACAATTATACCTGTAGGTGGTAAAAACTGTTCTACTGGTCTATTTTACTCTCAAAATAAAAAAACAAAATTTACTCTTATGTTTATTTCGGTCAACTTTGCCTACTCATCGCTTTTAATCACTAAGTTTTTAAGATTACTAAGAGATATTTAAATTGTTTTGTTTTGTACATTAATAAGAGCATACTTGAACATTAATTATGATTACAATTTTCTCAAAAACTGCTCACTAAAAAACACTAGAAAATCAATAAAAAAAAATTAATAATGTAGAACTTTAAAAGGACACTTATACTAGATAGAGCTACATCCTTCAAAAATATGTCATTGTGCTAAATAATTCCTAAAGTCGATATTAATACTTATAGTTTTTACTTTTCTCGCCTTGTTCATATCACAAAACAATTTCAACTGTTGTAAAAGTTTGATGTAGAATATAAAGCATAAAATAAACTTTATCATGCATCTTATTTAAATTAATTCAGTATAAAAATATAACATTAAGTATAGATAATCAGTATAGAATACTGATATTCATAGTTTAATATGTTTTAAGTTTTATTCAGTTAATCGTCGGTAATTATGTGTTTTTCATATATTTACACGCATATTATGGTATATAATCATATTACCATGACAAAACTATTCTTATGCCGTCGAAAATTAAGATAACTAAGATGATTCACTAGGTGTGTTGGTATCTTGTATATATTATTAGATTTAAATGAAACTCATTATAAAATAGTTTGAAATTACAAAAGTCTTTCGTCGAAAAAATTAGGCATCTGGCTTATAGTACAGTGTTTCCTAATCTTGGGTCGCGAAATAGTTTTTATGGGTCGTCAGTCATGACCTATAATTAAAACATACATGAAAATAATTTTAATAGAAAATTCATAAATGCCTAAGTTATTTTTATTTAATACCTCTATATATAATAATAATGTGAAGTCTTGCTAGTATTTTAGATTATACAATGTAAATATTAATATGTCTTTTGTAAAGTTTGTATTATATTTTTATCTTATCGGTATATGTGCTAATGACTGTCGATGTAGTATCGGTCAATTTTCCATACAGCTTGAGCAATAAGCAGTACATAGAGACTACAAAAGTAGGTACAAACAAAAAGTTTTAGTTTACGGTTAGACACTCATTTTTAAATACTCAAATTTTATATAATGTATATTAAGTTTTAATTTTTCTAATAGATAAATTTATTGTTTGTAAAACCACATCCGGTGGTACCAGTCAACCAGTTTCATCAGGCAATTCAGTACTATACAACATTTTTTTTTTAGTGTTTGTGGGGGTGGGTCGCGTAACCAACAAGCAGTACATTTATAGGTCGCCTTTACAAAAAGGTTGGGAAACACTGATGTAGTATATTATAAGCACTTATTATAAAATAACCGATAAGTTTTAAAATATGATAGACTGAAAAAAACTTCGAAAATAAAAACTAAACTTGTATATTTTATTACAAATTAATTCTGATTACAGATTTGTTTCAATAATAATTGTAATTAAAATTATATTTATCTAAAGTGTATTTAAATATTTAAAAAAATAATAAAAACTGTTTTTGGTCTACAACATAGGTTCTTAACCGGGGGTCCGTAGATGGTTACTCGGGGGTCCGCCCAGAAATAAATTTGTTTCGATAGCGTTTTTAAGATAACAATAATAATGTCTTGCTCTCATTTATTTGATGTTTTTTTTTTTTTTTGGTGGGGGGTCCGTAATTATATTTTGTTCTTTAAAAGGGTCCATAGATCAGAAAAGGTTAAGAATTTATGGTTTACAATCTTTTTTTATTTATATGTTGTTATATTATTTTTAAATATTATACATATGACCAAATTTCTATTTAATCAACCTTATTTTATTATAAATTTTGTGGAATTTAATTAAAAATTTATTTATTTTATTGTACAATTGTTTTGATTTACGTTTCCTGTATTTCATTTATTTACATAGGTATTATTTATTTATAATTTATAATTTATAAATACCAGTATACCTAACTAAAACATTAGGTCAATTCGATTATTGATCTTAATTTGTAATTAGAAAATTAAACTTATATTAAAGAACTAATAAAGTATAACATAATAGCAAAGTATAAAAATATAGTTTTTTCCATGATTGAAAATACAAGGATTTATCAAATATGCTCACCCCTATTTTTTATTTAACAATATGGTTGTTAAAATTCTGATTTTTGGAATTTTTATATACACTTAAGACCATCTTTTTAAATTCTTGTGATTTATTGTACTACTTATAAATTACAATACAATGTTTTTTCCAAATGAAAATTTTTCTTTTTTACTGTAAATGTTTTTGTTATTTTTTTTAATTTGATGTGAGTACCTACCTATCTATTTCAAAATTCATAGAAGTAGTTTTTCAGTTATTAAAATATTTTTACTAATGGTAATTGTCCTTAAAAATGGTTTTAAAAAAATATAAAATATATGTAATATCATATCTAATGTTAATTATTATACTCGAACTATTTTTATAAATTATAAATATTGATAAAATAAATTACTAAAATTTTCAAATTAGCATAGTTTCTACATATTCCAAACCCATTATCATGGACCTATTATTTTCCTTAGTACATAATGCTAAATAACTCAAAAACTACTCGATTGAATTTTTATTTTGATACATTAACATTTTAAAATTAATTATCCTCTAAATAATTAAATGTATAAAAAGTGGAGTTTTCATTTCTCAAAAACTAGAAAATTTAAGTATATATAAAAATTCTAAGACATCAAATTTTGATAAATTACGCTGTACATAAATAAATAAACAAAATTAAATTTTTTTTTTAAAAATATGAATTTGACTTGTACATAATGAAAAATAAAATATCAAAATAACTTTAGGGTGGAATTTATATATTACCTTTTGGTTTTGACAACATAATATAAATATTATGCACTCAATTTATTACATATATCAATGAAATAATGATTGACAGACACCCTTCTAAAATTTAGATTTCTAATATTACGTGCTTTAAATATGTTCCAATAATTTCAATTACATCGGTTGATGTGGATATGTGGAACGATCATTTAGTCGTTTTAAAAATATTTTTAGACCTAATAGACAATATTTAACATTCAATTACTTGAAATAAATTGTAATTATTCAATGCAATACTCATCATTTTGATATTTTTATGATTACATTTAATGTATTTTTTCCAAAAATGCGTTGTATTTATATAGAAATAAAAAAAATCTTCCGCATCTTTCATAAATTATACTTCCATATTTATGTACATATTTTTGTGTTTTTATTACATATAAATCGTCTTATTGTAATACATTTTGTAGGTACATAAATAATTTTGTTTTATATCGACAAAATATTTCATTCGATAATTCAATCACATCACAATATTGATTGGTCAAACGTCAAACCCATACAGTTCTAAAATTTAAAAAATAGCCATACATATAGAATGAAACAAAAATAATCCATATGACTACATTAATGTTAATTACATTTTAATTGTTTATTCCAATATTTTATTTGTATTATATAATAATGTTCTACACTAAAGTGTGATCCTATTGTGCTGTACTTACAGAAATACGTATTTCCAGGTAGTACTTAGATATTTTTGATGGAATTTTGCGTTAAAAATGAAGAAAATATGTGTACACTTTAAATTTATAAGATAATATGTAGTACTAATTCTTTTAAAATCAAAAAATCAGGGCTGAAATAATGTTTATAATATTGCTCTGTTTTTAGATAACCTACGCAGTTAAGCTCATTAATTGAAAGCATCACGAAGCGACTACCTATCATGGACCTACAAGATAACCAAATATTAGGAATGGAGAAAAAACATAAATTATGCTTTAGAAGCATTCAAGGTATGTGTTAAAATGGTTCCTATCTTTTACTTTCTGTAGGTACCTATAAAATACAGATGTACATATTTATCAATATTACTACTAGTATTAATTTTAGGTTTTCTTGTTTGTATAATTTTTTCAACAAATGTTATTATTATAGACATGATACCAGCTCGTGCGGTTTTATATTTAATGTCATTCAGTGGATTTTTGGTCAGTTTCATGATGCGCACTGATATTAATATTGCCATGGTAGCAATGGCCAAAATGAGACCACGGTCTGAAAACTCGTCAAATTTAACCGAACTTTATTGTTATACGTCGGTTACAAATGGCACACAATCATTTGAAGATCAAAAACCAACGGTATAGTATAATAACATAACTTATCCTGTCTATTGAAAATCATTTATTTACATTTTAAAATTATTTAATTACAAATGTAGCTATCTACTTTTAAATAATTTTAAAAAGTATACCTACCTATATAGGTATGATTATTGATTTTACTGTATTGTATAAACTAGGAAGTACCTATAAGGCTATAAATACATATTTACTGGTATTAACTATTATAAAGAAATAATAATATTATTTTATTCTTATGTAAACCAATATGTTTTCAGGAAGAGGGTGAATTTAATTGGGATTCTACAGTGCAATCTGCAATTCTTGGCTCATTTTATTGGTGTTATATATTGTCTCAAGTAGTCGGTGGTGTCTTAACACAACGTTTTGGAACCAAGACGGTTTTTGGGTTCTCACAATTAACAACAGCAATTGCTTCATTGCTCATACCTCAGGCAGCTTCATTACATTACTCGGCAGTCGTAGCATTGCGATCACTTCAAGGAATGGCATCTGTAAGTATAAATAAATAAAATATTGTAAGCATTAGTAGGTTAGGTATTTAATATTTATTTATTTATTTTTATTTAATTTAAATTCATATACATATGAAATACTGAGAAGACTTGTGCAGGGGTCCAGGAGTTTTAACTTATTAAAAGAAATTAAAAAATTACGTTTTTATTGTACTTGATTAAAATTAAATTATTCTGTGTTGATAGAGGTAAATTAATACAATGTTATTTCTATAATATTAATTCATCATCAGATTCCAATAATCATTACAAATTATTTTTTTTAATACATTGATATGGAGGTTTATTATATGAGATGATACTTTGTTACATAATTTTGTTCCAATTATTTCGAAACGTTTACCAGATGTGACTTTTTCAGTTCTATTTATGACAAAATTGTTTTGTGCATATCATGTGTTTACTCCGTTGAATATTAGTTGTGATAAATTGTTGGTTTTTAAGTATATGGTAGTAATCTTAGGTAAAATATTAATATTACCTTTAGATTTAAAAAAAAAATTGGTTATATTATTCTTAGATTGGTAAGTATCTATCTACTTATCTACTATAAGATTGTTGCATGATGCTAAAAGTATAGATGTGTTAAATGTACACTAGTGTCTGGTACACATTACCCACCAATCCTAATACTATCTTCTTGATTGTATACAATTTTGATTAAATTTGTTTTTTTTAATTTTCCAGGGGCTTACTTGGCCTGCAATGTATGCACTTGTTGGTATATGGATACCATCCAACGAGCGAACCAGGTTCATGTCATCATTCCAAGGTATGAATTAGTTACGAATCACAATGGTGCTTTAAATAGTATTATATTATGCCAGTTTGAAAAAATTAAAGGTCACTTTGAAGTGTATTAAACTAGGCAATTTAATTTGTGACCCTTGTAATTAAAAGAAAATCATATACCTACATCAAGAAACTTTCAAACCATAGGAATGTTTAAGACTTTTTTGGCAATGAGCCAATTTAAGTATTGAATTTCGAGATGTCCCTTGTCCATTATTTGGCATTACATACCATTCAGATTTGATTTAAACATACTATATTATAATGATATTTTATCTGTTATAAAGATAATACCTACTCAAATCTATTTGTTTCGAAGAATACATAAATTATATAAATTTATATGTATATATATTCAATATGAATATATTTATATATAGAATAGATATTTTATTGATTAAATCAATTTTTTATCAAATTTATATATACATATTATATAAGTACTATATATCATAAGTAGGTAATAATTTTAGGAGACATGTTTAACATTTTTATTTATAGTGAAAGTTATCTGCAATAATTCCAGTTACTACACATGCAGTGGTATAGCTGTTTTTTCTAAATTTTATTTTACATTTTAAACTAACTTAATAAATATTATTAAAATACATTTTTTGAAATATATAGTCTTAATTTATGAAAAGTATTAAATTACTAAGAAATTAAAATTGTATTGTATACTGAGTACTCGTCATAATTAATACAGTTCAAAATTAATTTAAGATCAAAAATGAAATTAAGTAAAATTCTATATATATATTTTTTTTTTTTGTTTTTGTATAAATTATTTCAAAAGTAAAAACATTTTTATTATGTGTCATTAAAAATTACTTATAAATTTTAAGATTATGTTTCATTCTCAATGTTTCAATGTTAACTTAGATTTTTTTCCACTTAATTTAAGGTATTTGATCATTAAAATACCAAATCAAAATTATAAATTATAATTTTAACATCCAATATTAATTAAATATCTTAATAAATGTATAATTAGTCTTTAAGAAAAATAGTAAAAAAAATAAAAATTAAATGATGAAAGTATGAGTGGTGACTGCAGATGGGAGGTCGCAACGGGTAAACAAGTATATTTATCTATCTGTCTATTTGTGATATATGTGTAACTGGCATCTAGGTTAGGTGGTAATTGAGCTGTTGCCTGGGTGACAGGGTTTAGTTTCGGGATCGGACTGACGTATATGGTATGCGGCTTCATAATTGGCAACTATGGATGGCGAGTGGTGTTTTACATGAACGGTTCATTGGGTGTCGCATGGTGTTTGCTATGGTGGTTACTAGCTTTTGATCTGCCTCACAAACATCCAAGAATCACAAGACGTGAACTGAATTATATTAATGCCAACATTGGAGAAAATATCATAAACACAAAAGTAATATAAAATATTATAAATCTCTTGTATTTTTTTTATACATAATTTATTTAAAAATTGTAATTTTTTTTGAATAGGATTTAAAAGTCCCATGGTGTTCTATTATGACTTCCATTCCAGCGTGGTCTATTGGTATAACAACATTTGGTCGGATATGGGTCCATTATACATTCATAATATACGGTCCATCTTATATGAAGACAATTTTAGGTTTCAGTATACAAAAGGTTTGTTTGTTTCATACATTATTGTATATACTAGGTATTAAAACAAAGAATACCTATTATTAAAAACATTGCAATTTACAGAATGGGTTTATGAATGGAGCTCCATTTTTATGCAGTTACCTTTCTTCTGTTGTGTTCTGTTATGCAGCTGATTTTATTATAGCTCGTAATCTTATGAGTTTAACTAATGTTCGTAAAATGTTTACAGCTATATGTAAGTAATTGGTGTTTTTTTTTTTCTAACAAATATGTATAGGTACTTAAATAATAATACATACATATTTTATTATTTTTACAGCTCAAGTCATTCCAGGCTTATTAGTACTGACCATAGGTTATTTAGGTTGTCAGACTACATTGATTTTGATAATTTGGTTTGTAGCAGTTACACTGATAACTGCTTCATATGCTGGAGCAATGGCAAATGTAGTTGATATTGCCCCAAACTTTGCCGGACATATATTAGCATTTGCACAAACTATACATATGTCTGCAAGTTTTTTATCTCCCCTTGCTGCAGCTATTATGCTTCAAGACAATGTAAGAAAGTTAAAATTTAATATAGTTATTTTTTTTTTTTATTATATTTTCTACATATTTTGTTGAACATTATTATTTAATGATAATTTTCCATTTAGCCAACTTTGGAGAGATGGCGTAGAATATTTGCTGTGACTGCTTGTGTGGCATGTGGAACTTATGTAATGTACCAGTTTGGTGGTACGGCAAAAGAACAAGTCTGGAATAATCCAAATCGCAAAAATAATTCAGGTTCTGTTCGTGTTTCACCTGAAAATAATCAGCTTATTGTCAACAATAAAACTGATCCAGAAAGAGGAGATGGTTAGAAGTTGAGATGAAACTATTCAAGAAAATAACAATGGCGTACTTAGGTCCCCCATATATAGGGGCAAAATCAAATTATTTTTACGAACGTTAATTGTGATATATAATATAATTTACAACAAAAGAGATAATTAGCACCGATTATAAAATCGGAACTTCAATAAATCTCATCATTCCAAATAAGACAGTGTTCTAAACTTAATATTATATTTTATTATAATTTAAAAAACAAATTTTAATGTTTGTAATAATAGAATTTTTAAGTGTGTGACCTTTGTGTCCTCTAATACGAATTAAGTAGAGTAGATATATCAATCAATTACTATGTATATTTATATAGATGTTTTATTTGTTAGAATTAAGTTGTAGTAGAAAATGTAATGACATTTTCTAAAAAAAAAAAAAAAAAAGAACAAGTGATTGGACAGTAATAAGTTGTTAAACCTATTAATTAGTATAATTTTTTCCATCAAGTATAAAAAGCCATTTTAAAACTTACAACCTGATTATTTCTATACTTGTGCTCATATTTTTAGTTAAAATGTTATTTATAACTAGAATTGTAGATCAACAATGTGCCTTACCAGATTCATTTTAGAAAGTTTTTTTGAATTCAATAATGTATTTCAATTTTAAGTTATCATTATTTTATTGCATATTTGAATTTAAAAAAAAATAAATATATTTCTCTTTACTAGTAATACTATTATATTATAATATAATAGTATTACTATTGTTCTAAGTAAAACACATATGTATTGAACAGTTTTAAATTTCTAAACATTATTTTGCAATCATCTAATTCTTTTTGCAACTCAAAAGATTAACTTTAAACATTTGTATTTTAATAAATCTACCTCCACTGTCTAAATAAAATATATTTATTTTTCAGAATATATATGCCTAGATATTGTATTAAATGAGTTTTTTAACTGGGCAAATGTAGTAGATTAAATAGCCTAGATTAGAACTCTATTGTGCTTGTTTCAGATTTTTTATTTTTATAAAGTATTTATAGATGAGTTGTAATAAAATGTAATAATATTAATTAGGTGAATTATTTAAATAAAATGAGATTTATAATATATACCAAACTAATCATTTTTAAAGTTAGCAATAAAGAAAAACCATTTTTGATAAATAAAAACTCTTAGATCAATTTTGTTATTTGTGAACATTTTATCAAAATTCATCTGGGTTTCTTATTTTTTATTTATACAACACTAAATACTGCTTAAAAAAAAAAATAATAAAATAAAACTGATATTATTTATTTCATTTTTATTAGTTTATATGTTTATAGTTCTAAAAATAAAATACACTAATAATGTACTTTAATTGTAAATAATATGTACACTAAATAATTTTTTTGGAAGACATCTTGATTTTATTTATTTACTACATTAATTGAAATATATATTTTTTAATAGATTTTTCAAAATGTAATAAACATTAAATTTTTTTAGCTGTAATTGAGTTATGCATATAATTATTATTAAACAACACTTGTATAATAATGCATGCAATATTTAAAGTATGGCATTGAAAAATTATAGAATTACTTTAAATGTATTAATGTATCAAAAAGTAAATGAGATCAAGTCGTGTTATGTTTTAAAATGAAATCTTTATTTACTTTTGTTAAAAAACAATGTATCAAAATTAATATTGTGTTCAAATGTTTAAAAGAAGTATAATAAATTTAAAATTCTAAATTGCACTTTTTAGGCACTTATTTTAAATGATAGGTTATTGGCTTAAAACCTTCATAGTATTATTTTTATATCTAAATTTGAAAATTTAATGCATTCTCTATATTACTATGATGACTCCTCATTCTTTTTTCAACCTAATATATGATATTAATTAATTAAGCTCAGAAAATGTATATATTTGTACATTCATAGTACTTTAATTTACATTTCAAAAGCTATGTTATGCAATACCTTACTAACTTTACCTTCTAAATTTATTAATTTATTTTTTGAACAGATATATTTTAGACACCTCAGATCCATATTAATTTGAAAACAATCAAGTATGTTAGCTTATGATTTGTAAATATTTTATTATTCTAAATGCATAAAATGTAAATTGAAAATAACATTGATAAATATTTATGAATAAAACAAATAAATCATGAAGAAATAATAATAAATTATATACTTATGAAGGTATGCTCAAATACCTACTAAATTTACAAAATCCTAAAAATATATTTCTGAATTGGAATTTCAGTTACTTTTGTTTTGTGCGTAATTCTGTACAAATTTATAACATAAACACGCATTTTTAATTTGTATACTATATACGAGCACTTTTGATTTTGTAGATAGGTACTGCCTACAAAAATAGAGGCTTTTAACACATTGCAATAAATTATTAATGTAAGTAAATATATAATTCAATTTATTTTAATAAACTGCACACAGCAAAGAAATATATACATATTGAATAGATAAATATACTGACATGAAATAAAAACCGTTGAAAGCAGTAAAAACTAAAATAAAAGTGATATGTATTTCTAATATTTATGATGTATAGGTATGTAAAATCTAAGCTTTTTCCTCCAATTTATCAAAGTATCTAAATATGTTATAATTGAAATTTCTCAAACTTATTCGTCAATACTATCACCAAAACTGCAACTATTCTCTAAAAAAGATTTTTTTGTTTACAAACTCTAATTTTTCAACCAAGACCGACTTTTCAAGAAACTCAACTGGAATACTTAGATTAAGACAGAGAAAAAAATCATAATTATAAAACAAAATTTTAAATTAATCGTGTTCATAGTTTTACTTAATGGTAACATTCAATGAGTGACGGCTTTTCTTCAAGTATTTCAAGCTTTGTAAACATTTTCTGTTCATGTACAATTATTGTAAAAATAATTATTTAAATACTGTTTATTCTTGAAATAATAATGATAATATTAATAGATACGTAATTATATGTATTTTTGCATTGCCCAAAGTTTTGTTTATTATTATATATGTTAATATGCTGAACAAAGTCGTTCTGATTTATTATTACTATAAATTTAGATCTGATTTTAAACATTAGCTTCTGAAATAATTATTTATTTAACAACTTATGTTCATTCCACATTCTTATTATCAAATCCATTTTTTCCATACAAATTATATATATTTTACTAATAGAGAAAAATATGACTGCTGAAAAATATGTTGATGAATTCAACCAATTTTTAATATTTTGAAAATAGAGACTAAGAGTAAACATACATCTTACTAATTATAAAATATTTTTCTTTGCTTTATATTTTTAGGCATATTGTGTGTAATTATGATGTTTTAACAATGTTTTATAAGATTACTAGTTAATTATTTACAAAAAAAATTATCTTTGTATAGATTTTTTTTTTCAGTTTATTTTATTAACAAGGAAGTCAGATACTCTAAATACACAACATTTTATAGTTCATATTTTATTTCATTAAACAATATGAGTTATGTACTTGTTAAAAAAGTATGTTAATGATTTGCTGTAGCTAAAATAAAATATATACTTGTCATCCTTAACAATAGTGCTCTTATTCCAAATGTGTAAGTATTAAGTATTTTTATTTATTTTAGTGATTGATAAAGCTGTACATTTATTGGATGGTGCTTAATAATATGGTAAGTATAATAATAAAAAAAAAAAAATGATAATAAAAAATTACTGAAATAAAAGCACTATTCTATTTTTTTTATGTATTAAAACAATATAGGTACATCATAACAAATAGCTATTTTAAATTTAGATGTAAAATGTAAATAGTTTTAATTAATCAACTATTTCATAAAAAAAAATATAAATGTTTGAACCATTTACAATAAAATTTTAATTTTATTATTATAATCATAAAATTTATTATTTATTATACATTAATTAATTACCATTTAATGAATTATATTTAATTATTGTTTAAAAGTCTTCAGGTTTCTCGCCTAGTAAATTGTTATTATACAAGGAAAATGTATACCTATAACATAATTTGATGAGCACAGAACAAAATTATTGACAATTTAATTTCATTTATCTAATTTTTCATAGTTGATTTTTATATTAAAATATAAATTTACAAGTTTTTGATTATTATTAAAAGCGGACAGTTATGAATTGTTACAGATAATTATTTACATGAATATTTTAATTTTACAAATAAGTTAATGGTGTTTAAATGAAGTAGTTTGTGAGTTGTATTAACAGTTATTGACTACTAACAGTGCTAACAGAGGACATTTAAATCAATTAATAGATTATTTAGTTTTCATTCAACTTTAACCAATTATTATTGTAATTATAGTGTTATTTCTATTATTTAAATATAATGAAGTATATAATTTTATACTGAAAATATCATAAATGCTATAATTAGCTGCAGTAATTATTACTGAGACATAAGAATATAAACTTAATACAAAATTAATGTAAAATTGGTCTTTATTTAATTCAAAATATTAATAAGTACTTTAATATTACGACATCATACATTGTTAAAAAATATAACTATAAAATAGGTACTTATTCGTTAACTAAAAATACAACTTTTCATTATTTACTAACATTTTAAAGTAATGTTATTATTTATACTTGTATCAAACCTCAGTAATTATGAGTATATTCATTTTAATACATTCTAGTATATTAGATTTATAAAAACATAAATTTTATAAAATAATAACTATTGACTAAAGCCTGAAAAAATCTGTATATATTTCAACACAAATTATAAATAAATAAAATCCACGAATGAAATACATTTATAAAATAATTATAGATTACTTACTTCAAATATATAGTAGTCTAGATGTTATATTATACATTATTACTTTCATCAATAGGTTTGGCTTTACGAAGAATACCTACAAATATATATAATAATAAGTAATAATGTTTTAAATATTAGTGTTAATAAGTAGAATTGTTAATTGAGCATATATTTAGTTTATTATATCAACCAAACCGTTTTATTTTTATTATTTAATTTGAAAATCATTTGTTGTTTTAATTAATAGAATATTTGGTCAACAGTGAATTAACTTGGAAAGGGATGGCTGATAATTTATTATATAGGAGAATTTTAACTAAGATCTCTCATAATTTGGTACCTATGCTGATTCTTTGGATGTGTATAATTTTAGATTTTTATAGCAACTTCAAATAAACCATAATTTATACAATCAAAGCTGTAGTCGAAATACCATTTTTTAAATTTAATTACTGACAAATTCAGTTTCATTAATATGATAAATTAAAATACAATTCATAAAATATACATTAAAATTAAAAATTATTAAGTTTTTAATAATATTACCTTTTTCTTCAAAACAATTAAACAATGGATCACTTTCCTTAATAGTATAATCTAATATAGCTTTTTGATAGTAGTTACTTTGCATTTCAATATTATTAATTATTGTTGTAAGTAAATGAGCTTTTCCAACATTTATTCCTATAAAAATAAAATTATTTAAATAAAATATTTTATGTATTAAACACACATTATAAATTACAATATATATATTATATAAATAAATAAATAATAATAAGTTGATTATTTTGTTTTTAATTTGTGTAAAATAAATATGGTTAAAAAGTAATAATAAATAGAATTACTTACTATTTCATATAATATAAAAAAAAATAAATCATACAGTATACATTTTTAATCATTACAATTAAATATGTAGTTTACTAACCCCTCGATTTTTTTGAAACTTGTAACAAGTTATTTTTATGATGAAAATTATCATATTAAATAACTATAAGGCTATTTTTACCACCTGATTATGGGTTGAGATAAAAAAAATAAATATCCTATTAAGTATATTAAAATTTACAACTGCTAAATCTAATCTAAGCACATATATAGTTTTAACACTATTGAATAACAAGTTATGCTGTAGATCAGGGGTCTCCAAACTACGGCCCGCGGGCCGGATGCGGCCCCCGAATAAGTTTTCACCATCCCACCAAATAACGGAAAATATTTAAAAAATGTATACCTAGTTTTCATAGTCGTTATCGCGCGCACGAGTAATTATCAGCTGTATTAGCTGTAATTTATAAATTATATGTATATGAAAATTAAATGTATTCATACATTTTGGCTCGCTAAGAGCTTTTTTTATTTTATGTGGCCCTTGAATAAAAAAAGTTTGGAGACCCCTGCTGTAGATTAATATACCTTTTGAACTATGAAATCATCAAATCCTGATTTTACAATACATAGGAAATTTGGAAACACATGATTCTATGATTCTTTTTAATAACTGTAGGGACTTTAAAATTTAGTTAAAAATACTATAATCCATTTCATGTAACAGATAAATCTTAAATATGTTAGTATTCAATTTTTTTTTTACATTGCAAAAATATACATATAAATTAAAAACTACAAACCTGGAGGCGTATGCATCAAATATGTAAAGTGAACATGAAAATGATAAAATGATGGTTGATAATGGACATAAATACGTAATTGAGATTGTTGAACTCCATATAATTTATAAATAGCGGCCTAATAGTTAAATATAAGCTTAGTATAGGAAAAAATAAATTACTTATAAATTTAGATACATACTGATCCTTTGTTTAAAATATTTTTTAATAACGGTAAATGATCAATTGTTAAATCTCTTAGCGATTTAATATTTCTTTTTTTAATAATTGCCAACAAATACAATTCATTCAATTTCCCTGACCATTTTAAGTCTGGTAAAAGTATAAAGCCAATATCTTCATCATCTTTTTGATTTTCAGAAGCCGTATCATATTTAATTTTTTCTTTTTCTGATTTATATTCTAAGCAATTGTATACCCACTAAATAAATGTTAATATAAAATCAATAATTTTATCTAATAAATTTAATAGTAAAAAACTCACCTGTAGTGACAAACTGTTATTCAAGATATGATGTAAAGTTATAGTTTGATACATTTCTTCTGTTTCTTGAACAAAATACATAGGTTGACTTGTATACTTTAAAATATGTTTGTCTGTTGCAGGATATATTATGTCCATTTTATTGGAAGGAATGTTTTCTATAAATTAAAACAAAATATATTTAAATTTCCATCAAAAAATAATGAATACAAGACTATTTTTAAACATTTACCATCATATTGTGGCACACAGCTGAATGATTTATAAATATCATTTTCTAAACTTTTTTTAAATTTAGTATGACCATTGCATACATTTAAAACAGAAGCTTCATCAAACGCATACTTTTCTATAACAATAACTGCTGGTTCCTGGAGTCCATTAAAATTGCCTTCAACAGCAATCATTTTACGTTGTGTATCGTTCATCAAAATTTTTTTAAGACAAAATTGATCAAAATGTTGTTGAGGATCCATTGTGAACACTAAACTTTATGATGAAAACTAAAATTTAGAGTTAAAATTGAATTAAATCTTATTAAATTCAGTAATTTACATGCATAGTTTAAAAATGTAAAATACAATTACATAAAAATCAAAATTTAAGACGCAATTTCTTAAGACAAAATTCAAAATGTATCAAAAATTAAAATTAAAAACAAAAGAATTTTAAATTGTATAAATCAGTATCTCTAATCTCTATATTCCTCATCATTTATAAACACCGACTTCTATATAATATATAATAATACTAGATAGCGAACTTCCGTTATCAGTTGAAGCATTGATTATCAGTTGCCGCCATCGGGCGCTATGTTTTCTGTTGACAAAACATTATAATAATAATATTATTTATTATAATGCACATATTTTTATGCTGTAAGTAAACAGAATATATTTCCACAAAAAAGTATAATAAAGAATTTGTTCCTACACAATAATTTATTCATAAATTGTACATAATTTTTCTATCCTTGTGGTTGTCTCCTGTTCGGCCTATAGTTGTTTTAATAGATATAAAAAGGGCCTACCAATAAATTTTTTCAAGTGAATATTTGGAATAAATGCACTTAACCACCCTACGCAAATTTTTTGATTTTTTTTTTTTTTGTAACTAACTTATTTTAACTATTTAAATACAATGGTACAATCAGAATTTATTGGTCGGACTTAGTTTTGAAGTTGTGGCCTTTAGAAGTTAGACATTTTATGTTTTCACACATTCGCCCATCACTCTAGTTCAGCGGTTCTCAAACTTTTTTGTTCGCGGAGCCCATATATTCCTAAAAAAAATTACGGAGCCCCAAAGATCAGAAATGTCTATATGAGACAACAAAAATTCATAAATAAATTATGTAATTACAAATATTACAATTAACAATTGTAAATGATTTGCTTTTTATTTTTATTTTCTGTAAAATACGAATATATACGATCCATTTGAATTTTTATTCACAAAAAAAATTGTTAACAATAAAAACAATTGATGGTAAAATAGGAAACACGTAATACGAAATACACACCGAAATAACAATATTTGTGTCAGCGGCCGATGAATAACGAGTAATGACTGAAGAATCAAGAAATTATTAGAACTTCGTAGAATGTAGATTGTACTATTGTAGATAAGTAAACTAAATAATTATCGTACAACATGTCAAATGAACAAAAAACCCGACTTTTATCTAATCTCATTTTGACAATGACACAAAATATGACATATGTGGATTTATAAATATTTTAAAGTTTTAAACGTTTAAAATAATTTATATTGGTACGGTCTAAATAATATTGATTATAAAAATAAAAATTTAACTAAGAAATATAATAATAATTTAATAATTTAAATTTAATTAATACAAATATTCTCAGGGAGCCACGGAGCCCCTAGACTACTCTCGCGGAGCCCTAGGGCTCCGCGGAGCACAGTTTGAGAACCGCTGCTCTAGTTCACTCTAACTGCGCTTATTATGAATATTGATGTTTTTTTGGTTGGAAATTTATGAACTTCAACGAGTTAAAAATAGTGGTGCAATCAGAATTACCGGCAATTTTATTTCTGTTACCACGCATTTAACATCTAAAATAATAATTTTAACAAAAAATTATGTTTTTAATTGTAATATTTTTTAAATATTAGATATTCTGAAGAAAGTTTATTGGATAGTCTTAAATAAGGCTGGGATTTGTATGTAAATACATATTTTTACTAAAACATGATAAATTAATTATTGCAAATGATAAATTCGTTTTACGTGTTTTGGTAATAAAATAAGACATTAGGTATATTTTCGTCATAAGTACATATTTTTACATTATTTGTAAAATTTCCGTTACATATTTCATACATTTTGATAATTTTGGTGATTTTAATAGTATTATATATTTATATATTTATACTTCGATAATAGTAGGTACTCGTAAAAATTAAGTGTATATGATGCATATAAGAAATAAATGTATGAAAGTATCAGTTAAATATTAACAACTTGATTTTAGTTTATTTGTTTCTGTTCGATAATCATACCTTGATAATCTTTGTCAATTCATTGGTTATAATTTATGTTTAACAATTATTTGACAAAATATATTTACGAATTTACAACAGTGTCAGTATCTAGGTTCTAGGTACTTGCGTTTGCATGGTTGTGAAAATATCTGTGAATCTCTTTTAATAGGTGTTTCAGTGTTAAGACCAAATCACCGTGCTTATAATTTTTAAAATGTAAAACAATGTGTGGTTTATCATTGTTTCGCTTTAAATTGATTTAAAACTTATTGTATTTTAATTTAACACCATATTTTTAAATTTTTTTAATTTACCTATAAGTTTTATTTTTAACCGCATATTGTATTTTTTAAATTAAATTGATTAGAAATTAAAAACAATGAGTTGTATTATTCAAAAATTATTTAGAATTATAATTTAACACGTTGACATATTTTTAAATTTTTCTTATTACATATTTTTATTTTATATTACGCATATATAGGTATATATTTATTTTTGATTTTTATCACATATAAATCTCAGTTCTAGTTATAAATTAATTTGGTGCCAAAATTTAATTTATCATATTATATAAAGATATTTGTAAATTCGTTTGCATTTTGTTGCTAAGACAAAAAATTCCATGCTTGTTTATAAACGCCGTCTGTTAATAAGTTATTTTTATTTAATAATCAATAATACGTTTTATCATTTATTTTATGGCAAAAAATAAATATATATTAAAGTAAGTACCTAATTGATGTACTCTAAAGTAGTGCACATTTTTTTAAATTAATAATTAATAAGTTAAAACTTGTGAATCAACAAAAATTTTTATTTTTATTGTTAATATATTTAAAATAATATAATATAGTTATTTGATACATATTTATTGATGTTTTGATGCTAAATATTTAATTGTTTATTTTTAAAAATAAAAAATTTTTTCAAACATTTTCCTAAAATTATTATTATTTTATTTACCATTAAAATATTATTCCAACTTATTCCTAATACATTCTGTTTCTGTTTAACGATTAATAACGATTATAAATTATAATGTTTTGCCAACCGAAAACATGGCGACCGTTTAATCAGCTGCAGCATTTCTGCTTCATAATTTGCAATTGTTATCACACGAAGTACCTTATCTAGAATTATCTAGAAGTCTGTTTAAAAATGAACGTTCTTGAAAATATTTTTCTAAATTAATTTAAAGTCAAAATAAAATACCAAATTTTTTTTTAAATGATATTTTTTGTTCGTTATGATTTCTAAGTTTTTACTTTTTTAGACAACAGCTTTATTTTAAATTTTATTTTCTGAAGAAAAATATTTTTCGAAGCATTTCGATACATATAAATCAACATTTGGACGAGCAATTTATGAATTTTAAGTTTTTTAATTTTTAAGCTCAGGTGAGCAAAATAATAGACTAACATTTTTCAGGTATACTCGTACCACTTCAATTCGCTCACTTTAAATTAAAATACTTCTAACTCAAAAAATACTCGTCTTAGTTTTGATTTTTGTGGAGGTATTTAAATACTTTAAAAAATATTCTGCATAGAAAAATTAATTTTAAAATGTGTATTCTCATCTAAAAAAGTAAAATATTAAATAATTAAATGTGCATTAGCTTAATGCGAATTATAATTATTCCTCTTTATATGCATATATAGCCATATAGGTACCTAACTCTCGGACTAGTTCAACGCGCATTAACTGCTCACTGCTACATATAAATGTGGTATATAAGTATTATTGTAGAATATCACTTAACTAATTGCAATCAATCGGGTAAAAGACAACAAATAAGAAAACTAGTTTACCGAATATTTTTGTTATAGAATATAGTCAAACCCGAGACCAGGAACGAATCGAGATATCAGATCTTAATTCTTAAGACAATTCGTTGAAAACAAACGACCCGTTCACAAAAGACGCATCTCTTGTCTTAAAATTCGTAAGTCTGAAACAATAAAACCTATAGAGCGAGTTGCAAGAGTAGACCCGTAATATATTTAGTCGTGATTAATACATTAAATATTTGCGCATGATTATTGGTTCGAGTACTCTAGTGGATAAACACGAGTTTGCATTTTGCGCCGAATACCATTCTCGTATTTCTTAGTTTCATTCCATTATTGTGACAGATAAGTTGTGTACTTCTGTGTGTGACGAGTGACGTATAGAGAATATTGACGTCAAATTAGTGCATTTCGCACCGTCCTTGTGAACAATAATTCGAACCAAGATACGAGTCATTGTGTTACGCAAACTACAGTATGAGTAACAAATACCTAGTATAGAAAAAAAACGTCACTACTCACTAGTCACAAAACTCAGCTCAGCGTTATTTTAATCATTACACCACACCATAGTGTCAACTATCAACTAACAGAAGTGTAGTCGTGGAGATAAGCAAGATCCACGATTGTATTATAGTTCGCTGTAGTGTAGTCTTGCGCGTGGTGCACCCATAAAATCATAAATCATAATATTCCACTATTCCAGACTCCAGTCACTAGAGCGCGGAACAGAAATCAGGTGATACTTGTCAGTTGTCAGTCAATCCTCTACTTGTTCTAAAGCTGTTTTAATTATTTTTGCATTTGGTGAGAAACGTTAAACACTTTGTTATTATTTTCTTATTATTGTTGCATAAGATCTAATATCAGGCAACCACTTGTTGACTAAAATTGTATAAATCTATTAAACATATTATTATCGTCCGTGTTTTAATCAATGACTTGTTAATTGCTATAATAACCAACTTCCCTTAAAAACAATGCCATATTATAGATAAATTTAATTTTTTTGTTTTTTACTTCAATAGCTATGTATCCACAAGTGAATAAAGACCATTTGCCATCAGCTCCACCAACCTACTCAGACTCGATGAATGCTCCAAAGTATGAGGCTACACAAATGTACAACACACCTGGAATGTTGCCTCCTCAACCCTCTCAAGTGATTGTTGTTCAAGGGCCTCTATTAAACTGTAAGTGATCTAAAATGTATTTTGACTCTTAAACTTTATTCGTTTACGGCATTATTAATAGGGTGTATTGAAATTTTAGACCAACCAACGAAAATTAATATTTAGTGGCCCATTCACTGCACTTATGTGAGGGGAATACTATAGACAATAAAATAATAAAAAAACTTTAATAATAGGCCACAATTTTATTGTATTATATTATTAATCAACGATTAAAATTAAATTAAATTACTCAATTATAACTTTTCTAAACAAACTACTATTATAATATTTATAAAATTATTTAATATTTAACAATTTAAAAAATGCATTCCTAACTAACTTGCTTTTTAAATTTAACTACCAGCCCTCAATGTTAAAAATGTATTGTTATTTTATTATATTACTGTAACACCTTGTTGAAATTACTAACGTTAATAGTTATTTTCTATTATTTAGTCTTTTTTGAACTTTGCATTAAATCAATTTTCAATATCTTAGAATAAATTAATGAATTAATAATTAATTGAATTACACTACTCTTTACATGTTATTTAATTATTTTAGTACCACCATTGGGTCCAAGATCAGTGCAGTTGACATGTCCTACATGTAAATCATTAGTGATGACAAGAATTGAAGAAGAGTCGTCTTCTTCTGCTTATTTATGCTGCATGTTAATGTTTATTGTTGGGTATGTAGAAAAAAGTATGATTGGTTATTCATATTTTGATGATTATGATATAAATTGTGGTTAGTGATGAATGCTAATTCCAAAATATAGACATTAGACATATACATTTATTATAAAGTATTATAGTATTACACATTCATCTCAAGATTAAATACTAAAAAAGGTTTTAATTTTATACACTCGTATACGATACAGTTAAAAATGAATAGTACAAATCATTAACAAAGCACAACCAAATGAGCATGCCTCGAGTGTTTAGGATCGCCATTGATCATGAAATAGATTCTATAATTAATGGTATCATGGCTGCTAATGGAGCAGAATTCTTTGAATAGTCAGTATTTTACAGTGATAACAAGCATTTTATAGTGTGTACACATATATATCTGTTAAATTAAATCATAAACAAGTTAGATTAAAACTAACAAAAATTGATGAACTATTATCATATGTTATGTTTTTTTTCATAGATAATAAAAGACTGGATAGGCCATCAGGCCTTATCGTACGGGCATGAACATTATTTTGCTTTGAGGTTACAAGGGGTTTTATCTTTTATTAAAATATCAAAATTGCTATATTATATTAAAATAAATAATAATCATTATTCATTAATCAACAAATTGATAGTATGTATTTGTTTTATGAGTTTTTTCGTGTTCTGTTCTCTTAAATTATTATTCATAATTTATTTCAGTAATATTAATATATTTTAAGACTATATTATAATTCATTGTTATATTATTTACAAGTTTATTACCTATGTAAAAACTTAAATAAATATAAAAATCACAATCCGGATCTATAAGAATGAGTATAATAATGACAATATTTAGTATAAATATAATATAATATTTAATACATATATTTAATTTATCAATTATTAACTTATTACTCATGATTAAAATGAATAAGCTTAGTTAACTTAGTCCTGGTATGTTTTTCCTTGATATTGTCTTTGATTTTTCTAATTTCATGAAAAATACGAATGTCAACATATTTATTAATAATTAAATTTATTAAATTTTCTCTGTGCGCATGTCTATTTAAAAATGATTCTTGTCCAGTGCAATTTGGAATTGTTTCTTTTCCTTCTTTATAAATGTTTGTTTTTACTTTGTTGATCAAATATAATTTGCTCTTTGACTGGTTGAAGTATAATGGAGATTCATTTCTAAAAATCTTTTCTGATTCTTGGTATAGTACTTCTACAGCTTTGCTTGGATACAGTAATCCTCCTCGATTCTTAATATTTATTAAGGAATTAGGATTTTTATTAGATTGTTCAGATTGTTGAATCAAGCATTTTCGGCAGCTTTCACACTCTATTTTTTTTTAATAACTTTTTAACAATAAATCCACCAATATAGATGTATCTTCTACAAATGAACTTATTTTTGTATAATTTTCAAAATAGTCGTGGTCAATGTAGTATTTTGTTGAGGTAGCCAAGTGCTTTCTAAAGTGAATACTGAGTCTTTAGCCTTGATAGTTATACTTAGATTTTTTGTGTTATCCAAAATAGAACAATTTCCAAATATTGACCTAACTGCTTCATTGTGTACCAAAATTCTTTTATAAGCTGCCTTAAATTTCATACAAGTTAGATTGTCATTATATCCAAGCCTCGATCTAATGGCACTAAATGTTGTTTCGATAAAATCTTGACTTATTTTATAGGTTAAAAAAAATGCCAAGTCAACTTTATCTATATTTCTATTGCATTCTGGCGTTTCAAAATAAAACCAACAAATCCAGTTTTTCTTGCAGAATCCACAACTTTTATCCCATCTAAAAATTTTAGGCTTTTACATATTTGATAAATACATTGTTGTATGTATTATTTTGTAGTCATCTAAAGTTTTATCAGAAATGGCACGTTTGAATGATGATTTCAAAAATCTAGATCTACTATTTAGCATGTCAAATGCATTATTTATAAAAGATATAAATTCTGATGTTAACCCTGCTCCTTTGAAATCTTCATTTGTATTTTTAATAAGTACATCAGCAACGCTTTGACTCAATATTTGAGCTGCTAATCTAACATTCATTTTCTCATTGTGGAAATTAATATGTCTCTTTGTCAGTTTAGTTAGTCTCAGCTCTTAAACCTTGTTCTCTTTCTAATTCATACAGTTTTTTAATGTACATCCAATCAATAATCTCGCCATTGGAATTTTTAATAACTGATCTGTGTTCCCATGAATTTCTGATTAATTTCAACATGTGAACAGGATCAAGAAAAATAAATAATTTTTTATCATATTTACTGATAATAAAATCATGAGGGTTCTCATAATTGAAGTTGGCACCTAATTCAGTACACATTCTTGTGTTTATATTTACTCCATCAAATGTTAATGATTGGAATTTAGCACCAGTATCATGCAATAAATTAATTGCTTTCTTTTATAGGTTAGCTCTTTCTTTACCTCCTAATCCATCTATAAGAAAATAAGCCAGTGGCATCTTCCCGTAACCATTTATGCCTACCGCCAAAAAAAACTAAAGCATTTTTTGCTAGTGGAATATAATCACTGTCATAAAAATGCTCAGCTTCCATGTTAATATATCCATGAACTCCATGAACAATTTTTTGACTATCAATTTCAACTTGCTGCCTAATACACATCTCTTCAATAATTAAATTGTAATTTACAGAGTGATTTCCTGCTTCATTTTTAATTGCTTCAAATGACTTGTGTGAATCCAGATTTACCATCAACCACCATAAACCACCTACGTAATGTGCGTGGATGAGGCAGCAAATTATTAAATCTTTTCTTGACATATGTGTACGCTTTTAGAGAGTAGTACTGTAAACTAACAGCAAACTGTTTAAGTGTGTTATGATATACCTGTTTTTTACCTTCTAGACCTCTGAATACATTTTCCTAGAATATCTCAACCAAAAGCCTAGGATGAACAAATTAATTATGTATTTACATTCAATTATTTATTTAAAAACAGTAAAACACAACTATTGTTAAGACAATATTAGAATACAATAAAATACTAATTAATTGCAAAAAGTTAATACTAACTATACAATGAATCATAAACATAAGGTTAAATTACAAATCTAAAATGTCTAGTCAATAAATTTTGTATGAACTATTATAGTATATAAGTATATAAATATTAGTACATTATTAGTAATAAGCAATAGACAACAAATAAGAAGAAACAGAACATCCAACATATAGTACCTTCTAAAACAAATAAAAAGTAATAATTAATAATTTTACATTATTAAAAAATTTCAACATTTTATACCATGTAACATTTATTTTACTGCCCAACAATTAATTATATAATGATATTTCTTAGTATTAATACCTTCATATTATCAGCTATAAATTCAGTTATTAAAGATTTTTATTTCAGAACTGCAAACATATCATTCATTGATGCAATTTTTTTTTCTAAACGTTTGTTTTTTTGTCTCAAGTTTTGAACTATTTTTTTAACAACTTTCAGATTCCTTGATGGCCATTTAGGAGTTCCAAAATCAAGTGATGTAAAATCCCCAATTTTACTTGTGATGTAGACTCTCTTTTTCTTAAGACACTAGACAAAAAGTCAAACAATTTAAATAATAATACTAAAATTATTATTATATAAGAAAACAAGGTATCAGAAAATATAACATTTACATACATGTTTGGAGAATGCTTTTAGGATAAATTTTTCTTTGTTTTCTTGGGGGTCGAACAAGAATAATCTACAGGACTCTCGCAGCGTCTAAAATGTTAATTGATAAAAATATAAAATATTCACATCATAGTTTACCTATCGTTAATAAAATTAAATTATAAATTGTTAAATATATAATACATACTTATGCATAGTTATAGATGTGTAAGAAATTGGTGATATAATTGATGGATCTGGACAATCTAGTATACTTTCAAAAGAACTAAAATATAATATTATATATTTAATACATTAAAGAGTAGTAAACCACATTATCTGAGCATACTTATCATCAATGATAATATATTATAAATAGTGAAATACATAATACATACTCATGCATAGTTATAGATATAGAAGGAATAGGTGATATTAATGGATTTGGAATATTTTTAGTTGAACTAAAATACGTTGTCAGTGATAGTTGACATAAAGGAAATACAACTATTTACATAGTAGTGTGAAACTGGCATGTTTTCTTGTGAAACAGAATTTTATAAAATATTATTACAGTACTTGACATTTGTCTCTGTATAATTTAAATTTAATATTAGATATTATATTTCAACTTATAAATTTGTTATTAATTAATTACAAATGTTAACTTGAATAATTAATAATCAATAATAATAATAACTAAAATATATTAAGTAATGTATTTTTTTTTTCTAGGTGTTTTGTTTGTTCATGTCTACCATTATGCATGGATAACTTTAAGAATTATAAGCATTCATGTCCAAATTGTAATGCTTTCCTAGGACTTTATAAATCTTAAGCCAATATTAATTGCCAATTTAACTGCTGCGTTCAGTTTGCATGCAGATACAATATTGTATTTTTTATTTTTAAATTAAATTATATGTTTACAATATTTTTATTAAACTATTCAATTGTTAAATAGTAGTACATAGAACTCTGATTGAGCTTTTAAAGAATGTAGTTATCTTTTAGCCTACTGGGATATTTTTGATTAAATGTTTTCTTATGATGTTAATCTATACTAATATAAACTTATAAAGCTGAAGAGTTTGTTTGTTTGTGAACGCACTAATCTCAGGAACTGCTGGTTCGAATTAAAAAATTATTTTTGTGTTGGATAGTCCATTTGTCGAGGAAGGCTTTAAGCTATATAACATTACGCTGCAACTAATAGGAGCAAAGTATCGGTGAAAAATGTTGCAAAAACGGGGAAAATAAATAATAATAATAAAATAAAAATATGAATGCAGGGTGTACTATAGTCTGTAAACATAAATATACACTTATTGTTATTAATTATTATGCATACGAGCAAGATACACTCCGTACATTATTAAAATAAACTAAAAATGATAACAATAACAACGAAAATATTATGATATTAATATATTATCGGAAATGGCACAGCAGATTAATCGGCATCGCCGTTACTGTCGTAAGTAAGAATATGAGTAAGTATGAGTATCTTAATTCTTTAAACCCGAGTGACCTTCCCTCACATTCCCTCAAGTTAAAAATAGGTGTCCCAATAATTTTACTAAGTAATCTTAAACCACCAAATTTATGTAACGGGACCCGACTTTCAAGTCAGATTTCTTCGCAATAACGTGATCACTGATCGTTGCAATAGTTTTGACTGGTCCAACAGTTGGTCAAACAGTGCTTATACCTCGCATACCAATGATTCCAAATTATTTACCTTTTAATTTTAAAAGAATTCAATTTCCTGTTAAGTTATCTTTTATAGTAACAATTAATAAATCACAGGGGCAAACATTTAAACACGTAGGAATCGATTTACGTCAAGAATGCCTTTCACACAGCCAACTATATGTTGCGTTGTCAAAATCGGATTGCGGAGAAAATTAGTATGTTCTTCTGCCACAAGAAAATAGAACTAAAAATATCATTTACGCAGAAGTATTTTCAAATTTATTCTTTTAAAAAGTTCTTAATCGCGATTATAATAACAGAAATTGACGCAAATTCAAATTCAAATTTTTTGAATAACAACACCTATCTTGAACACCATATTCTAATAGGCCTAATTTTATTAATTATCATGTATCAACTATGGTTCTAAATTAGAAATTGACTGAATAAAAGCCATTTCTTTTTTAATAAATCAATACATTTTTACGATTCATTTAAGTGCATAAAATCATTTATAATTATTTATTATTAGTTAATTTTTGAACGTTTTTACGTACCTATATATATTTTTTTTATACGTGTTATAAATATCACGTAAAAATCTTTTACTCAGCGAAACTACCTTACTTATTAAAGTAGTTTGCTAAGTAAGCTACTTTTGCTAAGTAAAGAAGTTCACGGAGTAAAGTAGTTCACTGAGTAAGATTGTTTCGAGGAGTAGGTATAGTTATTTATTCATGTATTATAAAATATGCAAAATGAGTCTTTTAGTACAAATTATGGTATGCGATTAGTCATTGTAAAAAAAATGATATACTAGTATATATAAAGATAAATGTAAATACAATTTTTAAATAAAAAGTAAAGCCTACATAAACCTTACCTATATTAGTATAAGACACCAAACGCCATCATGTTTTATATATTTATTCATAGTTACTTATAGTAGTATTCAATGAGATGTGGAACGTTAAGCATTGGATATGTGATTGTGTAGATATTAATTTCACTTCTGTGTAACTTTATGCCGTTTTTTAAAATTAAACAATGAATTTAAAACAAGATGAACTGCAAAGAAAAAATAGTTTTTATAAATATCATTTCAATGTTTCCAAGTATTGTAATAGTCATCGTATAGACATATAAGAGATCCTTTAATTCCTTCGGAAAATGTGGTATAACACAACGTGCTGTGGTGCTTTAACTTATGATAATAGTTTAGTTAGTGATTGGAAATAAATTTTTAAAATAACCTGTGGAAATTTAAACAATCTCTTGTGAAGTATTTCGCAAATACTAGGTACCTGCACGCTGCGCGAGTCCATAGGTGGCGCCAACTTAAACCAATGTATCTAAAGAAAAAAAAACTGTCTGAATGAATTCGCAGTAAAGAGCAGTATACCTGGTATCCGGTACAATATATTACGTATACTATATTGTGTATACACACCTCCTAGATACGGTCGTACAAATAATAATAATAATAATAATAATAAAGTATAGTATAATACCTAATGTACTCGACTGTGGGACATCGCGCGCAATTATTGTAACGCACACATAACGGTATACCAGGTTTGGCAAAACCGGGGTCGATACCGGTTGATGCCGAATCCGGCGTTGGGCATTCACGTCCGGTCTTCCGGTGCCCGCGATATTACTACCCTATATATAATAATTTATTTATACGTATCCAATGTACTAGACGTGTACTTGAGTATATTGATACAAATTGTCGCAGATATTCTTAACAAGTAGGATAGGTAGATATTATAGTATCTTTATACGTAACGCATGTGTGACCGGGCATTGGGTCAGACGACCAGTGAATGTTAATCATGAACTCGTGTCGCGTCATCCCACAGTATTGTATTAGGTAGGCAAAACATTAGATATGTATGTATACAAATATGTCTCTGTCTATATTTGGAATCTATAGTAGTTGATCAGAAAATATGTCTAAATTGTAAAATATTATTAATAATAATAATAATAATAAAAATAAAAAATATAATAGTAATTAGATAATATTAACCTATAGTTAATAGGTACCTCTTCATTTGACTGGTGCGCCGATTCTAGACTTGAGTCATCTTGATAATACGTTATACTCGTACTAATAACCCAAAAAAGCTGCGGGTATCTTTAATATTTTAAACATTAAAAGAGAACTTTATAAACAAAATGGCCTTTAAGAAGACGAATAAGATGAAAAATTAGTTTTCAAAATATTTTAATTATTGTTAGAGAGATATATTATGATGTAGATTGTAGATATAGTACATTTTATACTTAAATAATGTGCATAATTGTAATTGTGATTGTAATTTAATTTGATTTGACCGTTGTTGTATAGTAACTCCATCATAAAGTATAATTTTTAAAGTGTTAGTAAACAATACGTATTTAAGAATATTGATACATATTTTGAATAAAATATCATCAAATATAATATTATAATATACAAAAACTTAACATCTATTTCTATAAAATATAAATAAATTTATAGGTCTATAAATACCAACTGAAGTTATTAATCATTCTCTATTAATAAAAACTCTAAATTAACATTTTTAACTCAATATCATTCAACATAAGTCATAAATTGATGATTTGATAGGTTTACTAAGAATTAGATATCAAAAAAATATTGTGATAAATATTAACTTCATATAATTATTATAAAAACATTTTGTTTAATTACAAAACATAATAATTTTTATTTTTAAATTTCACAGATTGTAGTTAATGTAATTTTTTTTTATTGAAAAGAGATAATCTACAATCTACATAATAGTATGTACAATATGCAGATGAGATAAAATAATACAAATAATATGATAATAATGAATATTCTGATTATGGAAAGCTATCCAGTGGTAACACTCAATAAGATTATGTAATTTAAGTCACAATCACGTTAAAGCTAAGAGTTTATTATAATTTTTTTTATTTAACATTTTTGAGTTGAAATTGTTTTTATTAAATATGTAACAATAAATAGAAACATGTCAATTCAGGCGTAAATCCACAAATTTAAATGTACCCGCTGATCTTGAAATATTAGAGAACATTCTGAGAAATAAATCGAGCATAAAATCAGTAAATGTTTACTTTCTAATCTCTGACAAAAAAGACATAGGTATTTTTATAACCAAATATTACCGTCAGAGTGTCAGATTAATAATACTGTCAATAAATTGATTATAGAAATAGAAATTATTAAAACTTTGTCATAAAATTATACGTGTTTAATGAGCTGTTTTCAATTTTAAAAAGCAATATTAAAGGTGATCTATTTAAGTGTATGCACTCATTAATTTAAAAAGTCTTAACTTCTTTGAAAGTAATTTTTTATATAATTCAATATCATAAAATAATATTTAAAAAGAAAATATATTTTTTCTAAAATTTTTTTATCGTTATCATTACTAAGCTTTTTATTTTTATAAATGATAATATTAATTTTTAATTTTATACTCCAAAGTAAAATATTTTTCAGTGTATTTTAATAAATAAAATTGCAGTGTACATGGTATTAATAGTTATTTATATTATACCTACATTTATTACATTTTATTCGAATATCCAAGTTTTAAACATATTATATGTAGGTATGCGCTATGCGGGTGTGTTAATAGTGTTTAATTTTTATTGAATTAATTATCTAATAGTCATTTGCAATATATAAAATACATTATAGTACATTATGTTACAAAAACAAGTTTGTTTTATTTATTATTTTACTTGGATAAAAATACATATTTTTTAATTTACCGTCAGATATAGATGTGTAACAATCAAAAAATATAAGAGTATGATGTAAAAGTTTAAAATGTATAATCCAATTGAGTTAATTTCAAATTCGTTTCGTGCATCTTTTAATACAATACCATTATAATTAATGCTATTTGAATTTTTAGTTTATTATACGTGTGACCTTACATGCAATATTTAAGTAGATAAGAATGTATTTTTTTTCGTTTAGATCAGAAAATATCAGAAAACTTTTGAAGAACCATCAACAATATCACGAAACACAGAACAAACCATACAACTATACAAGATGATTAAATTTTCAGATTATTAATTTAATAATAGACGATCATCGTTATTATGAGAACTTATGACGACACATATTATTTTATTATTGTCTTACGATTAGATTTTTATATTGATAATGGCATTTACGATTGGTCAGTTTATATTGTTTATAATAATATATCGGTTATCGGTTGA